TAAAAACTCATTTTTTTTATATTTTTATGATTTAGAATTTACTATTTTTATGCAAAATATATCAATGTAATGTGCCCCTTGTTTGCCGGCTTACAAAGAAATAATACAATGAGAGGGCGACGCATGCATGCTGTGCATCGACTTTGAGAGATTTTAGTACGATCATAAGCTCAAATGGGCAGAAAAAACTCTTCTAATTTTTTCTTCAATAGATGAAAAGGCCTTAAATACAAGACATGTGTCATTGCGACCTTGTTCTTGTTCGTGTTTGCCTGTAGACCCCATTACATCATTAACATGTATCGTGCTTGTTTGCTCACACGCTCGAGATTTATATATTTGGACGATACAAACACCAATGCCTAAGAATATGGAACAACTGATGCCTATTAATAAAATTTTATCATCTAGCATGAATCCCAATACATTTATTGAGCAATAAACATTCGTAAGTGCCATTCAAGATCGTCTAGGGCTCCAATTTCATCAAGTTTATAATTAAAATAACCGTCTCAAGAAAACAAAACCCGATGATACCAAAATTGGTCCAGTTTGAGTCTGATCAAGTCCAATCAAGCTATTAATGCTCATTTAGGTGTTTCAAATCATTGATTGAATGGGCAAACGAACACCACATATGACATATTTATAATCAAATCGAACATCTGGTCTACAGGAATCTAACGAGCCTAAGTTTCCTTAATTATAAGATCATTAAGACCCAAAAATCATTTAAAAAAAAAACCTATATGATCAAGAGGGTCAATATAAGTTGTCTGATTAGATGGTTGGAGATGTTATATTGTCAAGTGATACAAATGTCCCTCTACTGGGCCCTATAAATTGCCCCCTCCTTTCATTTCAAAAAAAAAAAAAGAAAAAAAAAAGATTCAAATTTCAATGTTGTTTTGAACTAAAGACTCGATAAATTTTCATCTCAGACTATTGTCGACCACCACTTGCTGACACTCGTCCACCACCATCAGTCGCCCCTACTAGTCGTCGTCGGTGAACTCAGTTGTGTAACGACTTATCCATGAATATGATGCAACAGAGTATTATAAACATGATGTTACTAAATATTCTGCATATGAGGCAACGAATAATGTTGTATTGAAGATCTAATAATAACTTCCAGTGACGAACACTTTCAAACACCGTACTCAGAATATGATAACTTTCATCAAACCCTTGAAGTGTTAAGTATATTGTACACAAACAAGAGTTATACTTGGTGTAGCGTTATAATATTTTATTTTTTTATTGCGGGACAATAGTTTATTTTTGTAATTACACATTGATAGTATAACACATTATCTGGGCGATACCCCAATATTCTTTTCTCTTTCAGATTTTTCCACGTAAAATATTCTCACATCTTCTTCTACAACTTTTCAATCATCTGTGTGTGCACTGGATTTTCATAGAATGTTGAGACATTAAATTATCACTTTATCGCCGCGAATCTTTTGACACACAACTGGGTGTGTTGCTCGATAGCAAGATTGATCTACGAAGCTAGTTTGTCGAATCGACTAGCTGCATAGGCTAGCCAATCTAATTGTTAGAATTGATCGGTTGCATAGACGGGCCGAGCTCATCTGTCAAACTGATCGCTCGAGTAAACTGGTTGAATCAATTGCACGAACAGATTGGCCGAGTTGACAATACTGAAATCATTTAGGATAATTCAAGTAATACAATATTGAAATCTCTTTGCGGAGATCATATGGCTCATTTAGGTGATTCAATGAACCGAGTCATTGAGAAGCATTGCTTCAATTACAAACAATTAGAAATCAATTTAATAAGTATTTAGATGAGTTGGGACATGGAGGTTTAGTATTATTATATGCGTTAAATCTACCAAAATCAGACGCATTCAAAATACGCGCCTCATAAATAATCCATTTATCCGGAATTAAATAATTTCTCAAAAGGATGTAAATTAATAAAAATCAACATGAATCCTTATTAGAAGTATGCGAAAGAGTAAAAACGTGAAAATATTACCGTTTCAGGATGGAGCAGATAGGACTGTCAAAATGGCTCATTGTTCGCGAACAACTCGTGTTCGACTCGTTCGCTAAGTTAATAAGCCGAACACGAACAAAAATTTGTTCGTTCGTGTTCGGCTCATTTTGGCTCGAAATACTACTAATCAATTTTATATATATATATATCTTCAAAATACATTTATACTATATATATATAATTGTGTGTGTGTGCATGCATATGTATGTATATGTATGTATATGTATATGTATGTATGTATATGTATGCATGTATGTATATGTATGTATGTATGTATATGCATGTATGTATATGTATATGCATGTATGTATGTATATGTATGTATATGTATGTATATGTATGTATGTATATGTATGTACATACATATATCTATATACATATAGATACATACATCTATATACATACATACATCTATATACATACATATATCTATATACATACATACATATATA